TCCCCCCCACAATGACTCAGGATTGGGTCTGAGTCATCATCAGATTGTTGTTTACATCTAGGAACTCTTAATCATTGAACTGCTATGAAGGAATGGTTGGAAAACAGCAAATGATCAAAAATCAGTTTTTTAGTCTGAGCAATTCCGGAAAATCGTGAATAACTCGGCTCAAAATCAATATTTTTGAATTCTGTAAAGTGGAAAATCATTGGCAAGTCATTGGGAGCAGAATGGGCTCTGTTCGAGAATGGAGGGCCCAATGAGAAAATGGAGGGCCCAAAAATAAAATGGAGGGCCCAAAAAATAAAATCGAGGGCCCAAAAATAAAAATGGAGGGCCCAAAAATAAAAATGGAGGGCCCAAAAATAAAAATGGAGGGCCCAAAAATAAAAATGGAGGGCCCAAAAATAAAAATGGAGGGCCCAAAAATAAAAATGGAGGGCCCAAAAATAAAAATCGAGGGCCCAAAAATAAAAATCAAGGGCCCAAAAATTTTGAGACTCTGGGTCGAAAAAAAAAATTTTTTTTCGACTTTTATCCGTTTACTGGGAATATAATTTTGAGTTTTTTTTTAACTTCACCAAAATACCAGGGACTCAAGGAAGCTTGTTTGGGACTCCAAAAGTATTTACCGTGACTCAACTAGTTTTCGTTTTCGTTTTTTTTTTTCGGTTTTTATACACTTTGTGTGATATTACTTCGTATCAAATCGATTTGTACTCCAGGTTTTTTTGTCTTGGCCGTGAGTTTCCTAAGCCTGGTTTTATAATGGTGTTTTCCGCTTTCGAATATTGAAATAGCTGGGCCACCGGTGCTACCCCCGCATAGAACTGGCGTGACAGTTCGAATAAATTCTGTCCGGGACTCATAAAGTTAAATTAAAGGAGGTGGGAACTCTCGTTGTATTGAGACTCGTATTGAGACTAAAAAAGGCCCCGGCACATATAGGCAAGTCGAGTCGGCGCGCTTTCCGGGCCGCATAGCGCAGCCGGTAACGCTTTTGGTTGTCAGCCAAATGGACCCTGAGTTCAAACCCACCAGAAGTATCTACTGTCAAATTTTCAGAGAAATTTTTTTTTTGAGTTCCTCCCTCCTTTAACATTCAATTTTTAATTCGTAATTTGAAAGCGAAAAATACCATTATAAAAGCAAGGCTTAGGAAACACACTCTTCAAGTGACAGAACTTGAAACCCGTCTCTGAAACAAGCTTAGGTTTTATGTGGCTCATCTGACAAATCCGTGTTCTCAACTTCGCACAACACAGTTTGGTATTTGGATGATTTACTTCAGCTAAAAAAAAAAACTTAGCCTTTTCTCAAAGTGAAATATATGAGAATATTTTTTTTTAGCTCTTTTGTTGATACATTGTGATACTCTTATTGCAGTCTTCAACGAAATAAAAATAAAGTGAAGTGTTTGAAAAAAAGTTTTTTTTTGACCCCAAGTCTTAAAATTTTTGGGCCCTTGATTTTTATTTTTGGGCCCTCCATTTTTATTTTTGGGCCCTCCATTTTTATTTTTGGGCCCTCCATTTTTATTTTTGGGCCCTCCATTTTTATTTTTGGGCCCTCGATTTTATTTTTTGGGCCCTCGATTTTATTTTTTGGGCCCTCGATTTTATTTTTTGGGCCCTCGATTTTATTTTTTGGGCCCTCCATTTTATTTTTTGGGCCCTCCATTTTTTTCATTGGCCCTCCATTTTATCTTTGGGCCCTCCATTCTCGAACAGAGCCGCAGAATGTATTTAAAATTGAGATGGCGGCCTAGAAAACCAAATTGTGAGAAAGTTAGGCCACCAAGAAATTTTTCGTTTTAGGTCACTGAAATAAACCA